TTCATTACAACTTTTGTATGACATTTTTTTTACTACAACGATCATTTTCGTGAAAAATCAATTTAAATAAAAAATTATATTCCACAAATTTGGTTTTAAACTTGTTTGATGCTCACCTAACGATTCATGGAAAAGTTATTTTTTTAAACCTATTTCTATTGTATCCAATATTTCTTTATTTGTATATTTTTGCAGCAAGAAGACGAACTGGTTCATTGGAAACCAACAAATTGAACTCTAAACAGCAAAGAGCTAAAAGAGCGGCCCATAATACCAACATATCTCCTGCGGTATATTCTAATGCGCAACTTATGGAAACCGCAGAACCGTACGTCCTTCCCGGCTACCAGGTAAGTCCGGTTTTTCGAACCAGGACTTGGTCCGACGAGTCAACTTATAGCCAGCTATCGCCTATACCTTCAGAAGAAGTGCTCGTTAATATACCAAACCAGAGATTGGATATTCCTATGCAGTACCACTACCAGCCCTATCAAATTGATAATCAGTTCAGACCAAGGTAAAATATTATATCAAAATATTATAGTACGTTTACATCTAACATTTATTGCATGAGATTTATGTCTGACAGTTGTTTAGTCCAGTGTAAACACTCATACATATATCTCTGACAGAATTTTTTGTGTGTTTACACTGGACTGACTAAACAACTGCCAGACATAATTCTCATGCAATAAATGTCAGATGTAAACGTACCTTTAATTACAACAATGTGTTATATTTTTATGAAGATGAAGAATTCGACTTTCTTATGAATAACATCGTACTTTTAGTTACAGGTATCTTATTTTTCTGAATCACATAAACAGGCTTCTTTATAAAACAGAATAGCTTGTTTTTGCTCTTCAATTAATCACTATTAATTGAAAAAAAATAGAGACGAAAGAAATTTAGATTTATTATCTAAAAATTTCCAATGTAACGTAATATTGGAAAATGCTCAAATTGGCGACCGTAATGCGGAAGAAAATTAAAATTTTTATCATAATAATGTCACTGGATACCAATATGCCATGAATATTATCCATGCAGGAGTCAGACCAGAAACTTTAGACTTAGTTGCTGACGTCGATAATATCCAGGTGAGGTGGACTTACTGAAGAGTCCACTGGAATGTAACGTGGATGAAGTTATTAATCAAGAACTTGGAATGGGGGAAACAATAGATTTTGTATAAAATAGATCTTAACGGTTTTATTTTGGGACAATTCTCACTAGGGCATTTTCAAATATTACGTAAGCAAACGTATGAAAATTGTGAATGCCCCTTCCTACATAATAATAAGACGTACTTACTTAAGAATTTTTTAAATACTGAAATTTAAAAGCCTACATTTTTAAAATTAAAGTAGCAATCTTTTAATAAAATTAAGATTGTACACCTCGAGTGCATATCGCATTTAATGTTAAAAATGTACATGTTGACTTCATATCCGTTTTGTACCCATTTTTTAAAAAATGTCTTTTTTAAATAGATTTTTGTTTATATGTGTATTTAAGATACAGACTATATTTTATTAATCAATATATTTCTCTTTGTATTAAAAGAACTTGTTTTATTTATATTTAACCTTAAAATACTACAAATACTTCGAAATGAAACAGCACAAAAGGAATTATTGAGTCAAGGCGATCCAAAATAAATAATAGGAAAAAAATATATTTTTTCAAATATTCTTCCCTCTGTGTTCAAGCCAGCTGCGATCAACACATACATTCGCGATACAGTCTCAGAGTAGTACAGAGAGGACAGTAAACAATGTTTGTGTCGCCTTGATCATATGGTCGAGAATCGCATTAAAGATTTTAATTAGAGAGAAATAGATTAATATCTCCATCTCTATATTTATTTTTTCAGTTATTTTTAAACAATTATTGAAGTTTTTACTTAAATTCGTTCAAGTATGGTGGTGTTAAAAGAAACTCTTGTTTGTAGGGTTTATTTTATACTAGGAAAAAACTTGTGTTTTATGTGGTTTCAAATATAAAAGAAGAAGTGAGGTTATACGTTTCACTCGTTAATATTATTTCTTACCGAAGAACATGTGCGTCGTTTTAGGAAAAAAAAAAAAGAAAATAAAATATGAATATTAAAAAAAAATTTTTTTTATTATATTTAGTGTTCTAAAATACGAATTAGAAGAAACTTATGGTTAGAGGCACTTGAATGGACTGAAATGTTAGAAGTTGAACGAATATATTACATTTGTTCAAGGCACTTTTTAAAGGACGGCTTTGCTGCAACAAATATATTTATAAGTTTGTACGTTTCTAAATTATATCGAGCACTTTTAAAAATTGTATCTTTTTACTTTTTAGGAACTTTGTATTACACAAAAAAAGCAGGAAAAAGAGAATAGTGGTGAACCTATGTCACCTAAAAAAAATAGAAGAAATTGTGTTTAATTAATTTGGCGAACCAATAATATGTTTGAATGTTTTTAGTATAGTAATTTCTACAGATACTAAATTATTTGATTATGGGCCTTCTTTAAGAATATTAAACTTGCCAACAAATAAAAAAAGTTATAGTTTGAACAAAAGTACCTCATACACTTCAATATTAAGTTCAAGCAGGTATGACTCTGAAATTCTTATCAACAAAATTTGAGTCACCATTAATTAAGAAGTAAATCAAACATTGGATTTGATATAAGCTGATACATTAAATTGTATATGAATACTTATTTAAAAAAAAAAAACTAGATATTTTGTTTACATTAAAGTTTCTAGAAAATCGGTCATTACGAAGACTTTTTTGTTGCCAACAGTACTGCTTCAAACTTACGAAACAAAAATAAAACATTACAGGCACAATTAAGATGGGTGAAAAAGTATGTGCAATATCAAAAAATTTGTGCAGAATTGCTGATTTGGAAACAAAAAAATATTTTATTTGTTTTTGGACGCATATTGTATATTTGTACATGGTCTAAAATATAAACTATCATCAGTAATATAAGAATATTTAGTTACCTAATACAGTACAAGCTAAATATATTTTCTGCAAAACGTGATAAATGTCATGTACACCAGTACCACACAAATTCAAATTCTCAATCTTGTTGTCTAACAATTAATTAAAACACTGGGCGTCAGTTTTTGATTTTACGGTCACATATCTACCTGTACCGGGTTTCACCCGATGAATTCACAGTAGATTTTATCTACAAAGTTAGCTATATTTTTTTAAATAATTATATACTGACATTCTATACTTTTTTAAATAGATCGACTGATGGATATAGTCCCTGGCCAAAAAAGCCAAGCTCATACATATATACTTTTTTCTACATCTACTTGGATATTAGCTCATCTACCCACATATTACAAAACGAGAAAGTATGATATTGTGTTCAACTAAACGAATATATTTCATATCCATTCTAGGTGGTGAGAACACTGCAAAAAAATTAAATCCACCAATTACAGTTCAAATTTTGGACACCCAACTACTATTATTTTGAAAATTTTAAATAAGTGGCAATTCTCTCAAACAAATTGTTAGTATATTTTTTAGTTATTGAGATAAAATACACAGAAAATTCAATATCTAACAATAACAAGTTTTTAAAAAACCTGCCATCTGTATCTGTAACGTGTGGAGGGTG